CTGCTGCCACTCGGCCTGCCTGTGCTCACTCTCTCTCTCTCTCTGGCAAATAAATAAATAAAATCTAAAAAAAAAAATTGTTTTGTACTTGAAAGGATACCATAAANAAAATCTAAAAAAAAAAATTGTTTTGTACTTGAAAGGATACCATAAAGAAGTGAAAAGACAACCTATTTAATGGGAGAGAATATTTGAAAATTCTATATCTGAAAAGGGGCTGACATCTTTAATATACAAAGAACTCTCAGAGTCCAATAATAAAATGGTAAATAGCACAAAACATAGCCAAGGATTCTGAACGGACATTTCTCCTAATAAAACATAAATGGCCAATATGCACATGCAAAGATAATACCCACTAGTCATCCAGGAAATGAAAATGAAAACTACAATGAAATACTACCTCACATTAACCAGGATGTCTATAATATTAAAAATGAAACAAAACACTAAATGTTGGATGGGATGAGAAATTGGAAACCTCATACATTGCAGGTGAGATTGTAAAGTGGTACAGCTACTTAGGGAAAATAGGCAGTTCCTCTAAAGCTTAAACATAGTGTTACAATATGATGGAATAGTTCCTATCCCAGGCATATATCTAAAAGAAATGAAAACATGTCCACATAAAAACTTGTATGACAGTATTTCATAGCATTATTCACAATGGCCAATGAGTGAAAACAACCCATATGTCCACCAACTGATAGGAATATTATTCACTGATTAAAAAGAATAAAATACTAGGGTATCTGGCTGGCTCAGTCAGAAGAACATACAACTCTTGATCTCAGGGTTGTGAGTTTGAACCCCACATTGGGTGTAGATTACTTAAATTTAAAAAATAAAATACTGATAAATGCTACAATAGATTAACCTTGAAAAGTTTATGCTATGTGAAATAAATCAGTCACAAAAGACCATATATTTTTATTTTTATTTTTTTTATAAATTTTGCCTTAAAAAAGATTTTATTTATTTATTTGACAGAGAGAAATCACATAGGCAGAGAGGAAGGCAGAGAGAGAGGGGGAAGCAAGCTCCCCGCTGAGAAGAGAGCTCCATGCAGGGCTTGATCCCAGTACCCTGGGATCATGACCTGAGCCGAAGGCTAAGGCTGAGGCTTTAACCCACTGAGCCACCCAGGCACCCCCATATAGTATTTTAAAAAACTTATATGAAATTGTCAGAATAGGCAAATCTAGAGAGACAATAGATTAGTAACTGCTTCGGGTTAGGGATACGATGGGGAGTTGGGGGTGGTGAAATTGTTCTAAAACTGATCACGGTAATGGTTTCACAACTCTGTGAATATGGTAACCACTAATGTACACTTTAAATGGGTGAATTGGGGCACCTGGGTGGCTCAGAGGGTTAAAGCCTCTGCCTTCGGCTCGGGTCATGATCCCAGGGTCCTGGGATCGAGCCCCGCATCGGGCTCTCTCCTTGGTGGCGAGCCTGCTTCCTCCTCTCTCTCTCTCTGTCTGCCTCTCTGCCTGCTTGTGATCTCTCTCTGTCGAATGAATAAATAAAATCTTTAAAAAAAAAATGGGTGAATTGTATGTGAATTATGTTTCAGTAAAGCTGTTATCACCCCCACTCAGACAAAAACCAATCCATCTGGGCTTGGTGCTCTTTCGTAATGATAAGTTCCTATATAACTTTCTATGTTGGTTTGCTCTATTTCCAGGTTTTTTGTTTTTGTTTTTTTTAGCTTGATATGTATTATTGTTTCTTTTTTCAGGGTATAAACGTTTAAGAATATGAATTTTCCTCTGATCACTGTTTAAAAAAATCCCATACTATTTATAAGTCAGGAAAGGGGAAGTAACCTATTGTCCATAAACTAATGAACGGATAAATTGTGACACACCCATACAAGGGAATATTACTCAGTAAGAAAAATGAAGTACTGGTACACGCTACAATATGGGCAAACCTTGAAAATGTTACAGAAGTCAAAGAAGCTGTTAGGGTCCATGATCAAAGGAACGAGACTGATATAAAGCGAAGGTCAAGCATAGCTTTATTTTGCGCCAAGCATCAAGAATTAAACTGACCAGTCAGGGCTGTCTCTTACGAAAGGGTGACGATGATGACCCCTGCAAGTCCGCTCCCAATGTGGCTGCTCTGGACGAGGCCTCTCTGCAGATGAGGCCACTCTGGACAAGGCCACTCCCAGGACGAGGCCGCTGCTGATGAGGTCGCTCCCTGGACAGGGCTGCTCCCCAGACAGGGGCTGCTCTGGTGAGGCCGCTCCCCGGACAAGGCTGCTCCCAAAAAGAGGCCACTCTGGAGGAAGCTGGTGGCTTGGGGCCACTGGCGGCTCAGCCACTGGCGTCGCTTATAGCTTTGACAAGAGCTGTTACAGCTCTTACAAGAGCTGTAACAGCTCTTGTTCTTCTGCTCCCGCCGGCTCTCCTTCTTCCTTCTTCTTCCTCTGACAGCTCTCCTTCTGCCCTCGACAGCCTCGCAGACCAACCTTTATGGGGGTGGTTGAGCCCCGTCCACACACAGGTGGCCAATTGAATCCCAATTCACCCTAGTGGATATACGCGCGCCCCGCGGATTGGATGTCTCCACCCGGCCTGCCCCGCCCCTACATCCGGGGTGCACAAGCAAGTTCCTCTGGGAGGGGCAGGCCCCTACAAAGCCAGACACAAAGACCACATATTGTAATATGTTGTTTACATGAAATGTTGAGAATAGGTAAATTCCTAGAGACAAAAAGTAAATTGGTTGTTGCCTTGGGCTTGCGGTGAGGTGGGTACTGGGATCCCTTTTGTAATTATGAAAATGTACTAAAATTGTGGTGATCGATACACAGTTCTGATTATACTAAAAAGGATTTTAAGCGGGTTAATGATGTGCTATAATGCCATCTCAAACAAGACTCAAGATCTAAAAAGAGAACTGAATGGGCTAGGAGTTCATTTTATGGACTAGTAGCGTTATCTTTATAAATCTGCATAGCGCTGCGTGGAACGGAACCAACGAAAAAGACTTGTAGAAAAGCACTTGATGAGCCTCCTTGGCCGGGAACCCGGAGGCACACCTTGCCCACCACGTCTGCCGCTCTTCCAGCTCCGTGCCCTGGACTCCGCTCGGCTCTCCTGCCCAGTCAGTGTGGACAGCCTGCACTGGGCGCAACCAGGAGCAACCGCCACCGCGAACATCTGGAGGACGCCGACGCCAACCACCACCAGACCCAGATGCTCCTGGCGCCCCGCCCCTTACGCTGACCTCGTGGCGGAAAGCGGAAGCGGAAGTGCTCTTCGGCTAAGGCCTCACTTCCCGCTCCGCCCTGCGTGGGAGGTGAGTTTTCCATTTTGTTGGCCTCCCGCAGGGCGCTCAGCCTCGGAGGTTTGGAACTTCTTGGGGTGGTCGGGAGTCGCGGCTCCTCCTCCCCACCGGCACACAGCGCCGGAGGGACGGAGGCCGCCCGGGTCCCTCTGAGAGCCTCTGTCGGCTTCACCTGCGCGGGTTGGGGGCGGGGTCGTGGCTCAGGGACCCCGGAGGAGGCAGAGCCTTTTCTCCCTCCGGTGTGCTCCTCTTCAAAAGCTACCAGACCGGTTTGCCCCTTCTCCAGAGGAGAAACGTGTACGCAGTGGTGGAAAATGGCCGCAGTGCCCTCTTTTCACTCACCTGGGGATCGCGGGAGGTTCTGGTGAGCTCTGGACGGAAATGCTCTGGCTGTGGGCACCCGTTATTGACGTTTGTCGAATTATTCAGGTGTTCCCTTGTCGCACATTGACCATTTGTTAGTATTTTGCATGCGTAGTGTACCTCTTTCTACATGTCTCTCCATGTGTATAGTTAAATGTTTATGATAAGCTCTTTGAAAATAAGATTAAAATAATTTGCAGGCATGATATTCGACCTTTAGTACTTGGTTAATTGCCTCACATGTAAGGACAAAGGAGTTATGTAATAACTCCTACAAATTAATACCCAAGGTGAAAAATGAGCAAGAGGTTTGGATAGGCTTTTCAATAAAAGAAAAAAAAATGCAAATAGACAACAAATACATGAAAAGATACTTCAGATCACTAGCAACCAGAGATTTGCAAATAAAAACCACGGTGTAATACTACTGCACACACTGAATATCTAAATAAAAGTAAAACTAAAAAGAGTGACAGTGCCAAGTGTTAATGTATCAAGTGAGATGTGCATAACTGCTAGTGGAAACACATTTTTAAAGTGTATCAACTAACTTACACACCAGTACACACACACGTCTGCCAATTCAACATAAACACTATTTGTAACATCCTTATTTGAAATATCCCTAAATTGGAAATAATCCAAAGTTGATCAAAGGATGAGTGGATGAATTGTAGCATATATTTTTTGTGGGATACTCTTTAGTAAAAGGAAGGAGCACAGATGCAACAACTTGGATGAACGTCACAAAACATAATGTTGAACGAAAGAAGCCAGACATAAAATAATGCATGCTGTTTGATACTCTGTCTTTAAAATTCAAAAACGGGCAGAACACTCTAGAGTGTTAAATGTCAGGATAGTGGATGCAGTTGGGAGGCATGGAATGAGTGATTTGGGAGAGACCAGGAATATGTCTGAGATGCTGGATTTGGATGTGTTTTACTTCTCAACCTGAATGATGGTTACATGGGGCTGTTCATTTCTTAATACCTCTTTGAGGTTTTTATTCATGATTGCCTCCCTTAGTTGTATGTATGCTGTAGTTTAATAAAAGAAGTTTGAGAAGTGGAACTAAGCATGCTACTTCATAAGGTTGAGCAAGAAATAAAGAAGTAGAAGAAAATGTACTGAAAGGGTGAATAAAAATAAAACTAATGATGGAAAAAAGTAGAACTGATCAGTAATAAGAAAAGGTGAAACAATGCACGATATATTTATGTACTAGTCTTTGTGGTTAACTGTGAGATATGGAAAGCCTTTAGTTTCAACATTAAAAAAAAAAAAAAAAAACAACCCAGTGACATGATTCAGATGCTGTTGGAGTGGCTAACATGAGAAATGTTATTTTGAGTTTTTCTAAAATTATGATATTTCAAGTTTGGGTGTTTTTGGGTCAAAATTTGGGCACTACTTTTGAAGTAAGTGAGATTATCAATTATCACAGGCTTCTGAAGTGATTATTTCCCAGTTCCATCTTTATTCTACCTCTAACTAGCCTTGTCACTGTATCAGGAGTATATTTGTATATGTGCAGTACTCCTTATACTTTAATGGGATTGATTCTTTATACTGTTTATCACCAACTGATGATTATCTGTTTATTACCTGCATTACCAGATTGAACTGTGAGATCCCTAAAAACTGTTCCCTCCTCATTGCCTAGTACCTGGCCTGGCAGAAGGAAGACCCTTACTAAGTATTTGCTAACTGAATGAAGGAATAAGAGACAGAAGGTGGCAAAGTTTCCAAATCCAACAAAGCTCCTGCAGGGGTATTCAGGGGGACTTCTCATTTCATAAAACCTTTTGTATTTCTCATCTCCATTATGTCTAGCAGAGGATGTGGACTGAATTCTGGTCATGTCAGGAATAACAACCACCACAGGAGATAAGGCTTTTGCCATTCCAGTATGTGTCTGCTTGGCTTTTCTGATGGGTGACTTGAGACAGTTATTAATACTGTGTGAACCTCCATTTTCTCAACTATTAAATGACAGTTATTAATACCCAGTTTGGAGGGTTATTAGGGCAGTTAAAGGAGTTTATGTATGTAGAACAGTATATACTGTAGAACAGTCCTCGGTAAATAGAGGTTGGCATTAATATTTGCATGGTAGGATATTCGGGTTTTTAATGGCTGTCACATGTTTCATCTGCACAGAGATGGCTAATGAGTGGTGTTTGATGATTGAGGGAAAATGTCTGTTGCTTAATGATGGATATTGTGAACCAGTTACCCAGACACTCCAGTATTCAAAGAGAAATTGAGATCAAGCTCTTAATTTAAACTCAGAAGCTTCTCTGAAGTGGTCTTCTGAGTGAGATATGGAATATTCTGGAAACTCTATCAGATCACAGGATGGAAGCCCTTGATGTGAATCAGGTGTATGGTGAGTCCTTATTGATGCTTCTTTTTATGTAGTTCCTTCACAAGTGGCAGATCCAGTGCTCAGTGCTCAGAGCCTGAGTGATGGTGCAGTGGGCCATAGAAGAACAATGGAAATGAGCAGAGCATGTATAAGTCAGATTCCTGGGGTTTGGGAGGCAAGAAGGTGTGTGTGCTGTTTGAGGGAATAACATGTTCATGAATTCTGTTGTGTCAGACAGCTCTGTCTCTCTCTACTGTAATTTGTGTAACTCCAAGGTGGAATATTTAACCTGTTTCTTATGGGTAGCAAGATCCAGAAAACCATTTTTTGCTCCAGGTAACTCAGCACTTTGCCAGTTTATGGAATTAGTGTGTTTGTGGTATGTTCTGTGCATGGTGTGGAATAGCTTATAAGCATGTTATTACTGGAATTGGATTGGCTTCCGAGTTCATGGCATTTTTCTCTCTGAGGTTATCTTTCTCAGAACCCTTTCTGTCTTCCTGAGGGGAAGATTGAGGAGTCAAAGATGGTGGCTGGGTTACTGATGGATTCTTCTCAGGTAAGTGGAAAGTTGACCTTTCTTCAGAATGTCAGCCTTATTTATTAGGTAGCTGTATCTCCTTGTAATGTCCCCAGGCTTCTTTCTTATAGCAATTAATGACCCTGCTTAAGGAATGAGTCTCTGGTCAGTTTCTCCAGGACTCATGCCATCTCAGAATATATAGGGATTACACTGGATATGATTCTTTTATCCCACTATTCACTAATTCTTTCTGATCCTCAGTCAGGCTTGTTGGCCTGTTGTTTTGCTGAGTGTTATGATAGATACTGAGGAATGATATGAAGGTATCTAATCTCATATAAAGCATGTGTTATTGTGGAAATAATTCATCTGTTAGAAGATTTTACAGACTGTTGCACTGTGTTCAGTGCTAAGCGTAGCTTATAAATAGAGGAGGAATAAAGCAAAAAGAGCCCATAGTCAAGTGGTGGTAACAGAAGTTTAGTCACATGTCAGTGATGCTGATAAGTCCATGTGACTGGCTGTGATCACCAGGCAGTATCTGTAGGTAGAGAAGAGAAGATGTCTAGTCCCAGGAGTACTGTAGGTTTCTGGTCTGCCTTCCTCAGTCTTTCATACATCTTCCTGAGAACCTCAAAGAAGACAGTGGTTAGCTGAAGCCAGTATGTATTTGATGGTTTAGCACTTAGTGACCTTCGAGGATGTGGCTGTGACCTTTACCCAGGAGGAGTGGACTTTGTTGGATCAAACACAGAGAGATCTCTACAGAGATGTGATGTTGGAGAACTACCAGAATCTCATTATACTAGGTAAGGTTGGCATCACTTATTCACTAAGCCCTTTATGAAATGAATGTTTCTTAAGTATCGTTGCTGTCAGATGGGAATACTGTGGTAAACAAGACAGATGTAATCCCTGGCCTCAGGGGCCTTACTGTCTAGAGGATTCCCTGTGAAAATGAAGATCTGTCTAAATAAATTTATTCCTTTTAGGGACTGAAAACCTTAGGACTTTAAGTGTGTTTAGAGGCCAGACACGATTTTCAAGTCTTAGAGCTCTCTCGTCATTTGAGGGCACAGAAAGAATGTACTCACATTTTTATTCCTTTTAGAATAGTTTTATTGCATTGATTTAAAATTTTGTGTGATTATTTGGCGTTTGTAAAGTGAGACTTCACCGTCTACAGAAACCCTGAAGCTTAAGTGTTGATTCCTATCCAAAGAGCCATATTTCATGTCTTGCGAGGTCCTTACATATTCTTCCTGTAAGCAGGATACGAATCATGCAAACCTGATCTCAACTCTCTAATGGGAGGAGCAGAAGAGCTGAGGACAGGAGGGAGAGGAATTCTGCAGGGTAAGTTCATGAGGTACAGTTTTGTGACAAGTGATGTGACTAGCCTGGGAAAGGTGCAGTATGTTTGGAAATGCCACTTGGCAAACTTTCAAAGGTAAACTCTTTCTGAGAAGGAAGTCATTCGGTCTCTGAGTTTGCTTAGGAACCTTCATCTCCCTTTACCTTCAAATTTCCAGTGATCTCAGCCTTTTTCTGTTCTCCCAGAAAGGTCTATCTGACTCAGTTGAAAATGTCATTACTTAAAGTAGCTCATTCTGCAGTACTTTCTCTCTTGCTTTTCTGATTCTATCAGTGTTTTTTGTTCACTGTCAGCCTTAGTTTTCCAGAATATTAAGCTTTGGAAATTGCCTACAATTTCAACACCATAGCCTTACCATTGCCAGACTTCTAACACAGCCGTACTCTGTGTAATCCAACTTCCCTTTTGTTTCAACCTTTTTATCTTGTTTCATGCATATTTAAACATATGTATATGCCATTTTTTAAGATAAAATACACAAAAATTAACCATTTTAATAAATATGATTTATTGGTATTGAGTACATACACAGTGTTGTGCAACCATCAGCTCTTTTTAGTTCCAAAATATCTTCATCACTTGAAAAGGAAACCCTGTAACTGTTAAACAGTCAGTCTCCCTTCAGCTCTACCCCCTCTCCCTGCAGCTAGTAATCTACTTTCTAATTTATAGGTTTGTCTGTTCTGCGCATATCAAATAGAATCATACAGAATTCAGTTTCAGGACTATTACTTATTACCTAGAAATAGAATTGTGGGGCATATGGTCATTTTATGTTTAACTTGTTAAGGATTACCAAACTGTTTAACACAGAAGCTGTACCATCTTATATTCCCTCTAGCAGTGTAGAAGTTACTTCACATCCCTGCCATCACTTCTCCTTCCTTCCTTCCTTCCTTCCTCCCTCCCTCCCTCCCTCCCTCCCTCCTCCCTCTTCTTTTTTTTTAATAGTAACCATCCTAGCAGGTATGAAGTGGTATCTTATGGTAGTTTTGATTTGCATTTCCCTAAAACAAATGATGTTGGACATCTTTTTGTGTGCTTGTTGACCATTTTCTGTGTCTTTGGAGAAATGCCGATTCAAGTTCTTTGCCCATTTTTTACTTTGAGTTGTTTGTTTTGTTGTTGTTAAAGCATAGGAGTTCTTTCTGTACTCTAATAGTGGACCTATATCACATGGATGATATGCAGATATTTTCTTCCATTTTTGGGGTTACCGTTTTGCTTTTTTGATAGTGTTCTTTGATGTATGTTTTTAATTGCAGTGGGGTTCAATTTATCTTTTGTTCTCTTTGGTGCTTTTGATGTCATATCTAAGAACAGAAATATTGGACACTATCAAATCTGAGGTTCTGAAGATTTACCCCCTTGTTTTCTTCTAGGGTTTTATACATTTAGCCTTTACATTAGGGTTTTGATCCATTTTGAGTGAATTGGTATATATGGTGTGAAGTAGGGGTCCAGTTTGATTCTTCTGCATAGAAATATCCAATTATCCTAGCACTGTGTATTGAAGAGACTGTTCTTTCCCCCATTGAATGGTCATGGCACACTTGTTGAGAATATATTTATTCTAAATGTATGGGTTTTTCTTATGGATTCTTTGTTCTGTTCATGTATATGTCTATCCTTTTTCCTGTACGACAAGTTTCTGGTTTTTTGTTTTTGTTTTTGTTTTGGCCATTTATTTATTTATTTTTAACTAATTATTTTTATTAACATATAGTGTATTATTTGTCAGGAGTACAGGTCTATGAATCGTCAGGCTTACACATTTCACAGGACTCACCATATCACATATCCTTCCCAATGTCCATAACCCAACCACCCTCTCCATACCTCCCCACCCCCCACTCACCCTCAGTTTGTTTTGTGAGATTAAGAGTCCTTCCCAATCCCATCTTGTTTCATTTTTTCCTTCCCTACCCGCCAAACTCCCCACCCTGCCTCTCAAATTCCTCATATCAGGGAGATCATATGATAATTGTGTTTCTGTGATTGACTTATTTCACTCAGCATAATACCCTCTGGTTATTTCATTTCTTTTGATGGCTGCATAGTATTCCAGTGTGTGTGTGTGTGTGTGTGTGTGTGTGTGTGTGTGTATCACATCTTCTTTATCCATTCATCTGTTGATGGACATCTAGGTTTTTTCCATAGTTTGGCTATTGTGGACATTGCTGCTATAAACATTTGGTGCATGTGCCCCTTTGGATCACATTTGTACCTTTAGGATAAATACCCAGTAGTGCAATTGTTGGGTTGTAGGGTAGCTCTATGTTCAACTTTTTGAGGAACCTCCAAGCTGTTTTCCAGAGTGGTTGCACCAGCTTGCATTCCCACCAACAGTGTAGGAGGGTTCCCCTTTCTCCGCATCTACACCAACATTTGTTGTTTCCTGACTTGTTAATTTTAGCCATTCTGACTGGTGTGAGGTGGTATCTCATTGTGGTTTTGATTTGTATTTCCCTGACGCCAAGTGATGTTGAGCACTTTTCCAACACATTTCTGATAATGTATTTCTCAGTTCCAGAATTTTATTTGGTTCTTTTTTGTAATTTCTGTCTCTTACTTGACAGTCTCTTACTTGAGTCCTAATTCTTCTAGTTTCCTTGGTTCTTTGTCCATGGTTTCTGTTAGCTCTTTGGTGTGTTGAAACAAATTGATTTAAAGTTATTAGTCCAATGCCTGGGCTTCCAGGAACAATTTGTATTAATTTTTTAATTGTTCCTTTGCATACCTCATATATTTTAGTTGGAAGTATAAATTTTAGACATCATAATGTGGCAATTGAAAATATGATTCAGCCCCTCCCTGGGTTTGTTGTTGCTGCTTGTTGTGTATTGTTGGTGTTTGTTTTGTGGCTTTTATAAATTATTTTTTTTAAAGATTTTATTTATTTATTTGACAGAGAGAGATCACATGTAGATGGAGAGGCAGGCAGAGAGAGAGAGAGAGGGAAGCAGGCTCCCTGCTGAGCAGAGAGCCTGATGCGGGACTCGATCCCAGGACCCTGAGATCATGACCTGAGCCGAAGGCAGCGGCTTAACCCACTGAGCCACCCGGGCGCCCTATAAATTATTTTTGTATGTTCTGCATTCTTTTTAGTGCGGTCCCTGAAATCCATGTTCTGTTAGTTTAGTGGTCATCTTAGAGTGACAGAAATTCCTTAAATAACTGGAACCAAGAAAAGAAAACTAAAAATATTCTTTTAGTTTTTTCTGATTGGCTATGTGTTGGACCACTCCTTCAGTGTTTAGCTAGGCCATGTACAACTCTTTCTTAGCTTTCCATTTCTGGTGGAGTGGATGCTGAAGGTCAGTGAGAGGTGAAAGCTTTGGATCCTCTCCAGCCTCCCAGCCCCATGTGTGCATGTGAACTTCTTGATTCACTGGTAAACACCTGAGCTTTTCAAAGCCCTATTTACGCACATACCAACATTTCCAGTCTGTTCCTTCTAAGGCTTTTCAGGCTGTCTTTTATTTGTCTCAAATGCTTTCCCTGTCCTTGGGCTACTGTAGGCAATACTTTGCCTTCAGATACTTTAATCAGTAGTTGTCTGATGCTGCCTTGCTCCTGGGAACTCTTTGAGTTCGATGATATAAAGGCACACCCTTGCGGCCATGATACTTGAAGCTGCCAGACAGATGGGAACACAAAATGGCAGTTCTCCGAGAGCAAAGTCCATAGTGCTCCTTTCAGCAATTGTAACTTTCTCAGGGTTGCATCCTGTTGTCTACATGACTGCCGCTGATCTGAGGAGTGGGGATGGTAGGTGGATAATTAAAGTGCTTCAGCCTCTCTTGGTGAACTGTAGCTGCAGCCTTTTTCCATAAGTGTTCGCTTGGCAGTTGTAAGTTTTTGACTAGATTCCCAAGTTCTGTAATAGTTGATTTTGATAGTTTTTGTAAGCGTTTTATTTGTTTTCTGGTGGGAAGGAGTCCCGGAGTTCCCTACTCTACCATATTTTGTGGTGTCATTCTCTGTGCTGTATGCTTTTAAACAACTTTATCCCAGGATTTTTCTCTGAAACAAAATTTTCCACTTTTTTTCAGAATTGGATTTGCTCAAAACTAAAGGTTTCACAGCCCTTCAGGATATTTCTTTGGAAAAAACATCAAATGGAATACAACTGGTAAGATCTCCAAAAGTAATTCCTTTCTTCCACACCTGGACCAGAAGTACAGAATTGATGCAGATGATATGAAATAAATGTCATTTACCCAAAGAAAGCAGAATCTGTGAAGAGATTTCTTTGAATGTCAAGAATTTGGGGAGCACTGTAAACCTACTTCAATCCCGTTTCTCCTCAGAGATCCACATAAATATAGCTCAGATGTCCAGTTTTTGATACACTGGGATTAGGTTTTAAATGATTTAGTATGAGTCATTACCAGAAGATACTCTGTGAAAGTAGAGTGTAGCCTCAGAGTCTGTTTATTCAACTTAAAATAACTCAAAAACAGGGCAGGAACTCTGTGCACTGAAATGGAAAAAAACCACTTCAATTATGATGATGTTTCCAATGCATAAAAGTTGTGATGGGGGAGAAATTCTGTTATAGTGTGAATAAATCTTTAGTTATCATTTAAACCTTAATCAACAGGAGAGAAGCAATGCTGGAGTGAAACGATATGGCTCTAACTTGTGTGGAAGAGCGTTTAGTGGACACTCATTTATGACTCCCAGTAGACAGAAAACTTCTAAGGGTAATCAGAATGGAAAAGCCTTTAAAAAGAACTTTATTTGTACTCTGCTCACGGAAATCCCCATTGGGGAGAAAACTTCTGAGAGTGTCCAGCACAATAAAGCCTTTGGTCAGCTTTCAGATCTTACTGGGCACAAGAAAACTCAGACACGAGGAAACGTGTGTGAATGCAAAGAGCATCAGAGAACTTCTGTTAATCAGTCATCCCTTAAGGCACACAGGAGACACCACACTGGAGAAAAACCATATGAATGTAAAGACTGTGGGAAGGTCTTCACTCATTCCTCGTACCTTACAGATCATAGAAGAATTGACAGTGGAAAAAAGCCCTATGTGTGCGTGGAATGTGGGAAAGCCTTTACTCGATCCACAGGACTTATTTTACACATGCGAATTCACACTGGAGAAAAACCATATGAATGTAAGGAATGTGGAAAAGCTTTTATTCACTCTTCATACCTTACAAAACACGTAAGAATTCACAATGGAGAAAAGCCATATTTATGTGAGGAGTGTGGGAAAACTTTCACTCGCTCCTCAGGACTTGTCTTACATGTGCGAACACACACTGGAGAGAAACCCTATGTATGTAAGGAATGTGGGAAAGCCTTTAATAATTCTTCAATGCTCAGTCAGCATGTCAGGACACACACTGGCGAGAAGCCATACGAATGCAAGCAATGTGGGAAAGCTTTCACTCAGTCTTCAGGCCTTACCACACACTTAAGAACTCACACTGGAGAGAAGGCCTTTGCATGTAAAGAATGTGGGAAAGGTTTTGCCCGTTCTACGAATCTTAATATGCACATGCGAACGCATACTGGCGAAAAACCGTACAAATGTAAAGAATGTGGGAAAGCCTTTAGGTACTCCACGTGCCTTAATATTCACATGCGAACTCACACTGGAGAGAAACCATATAAATGTAAGGACTGTGGGAAAACCTTCACTCAATCTTCAGCACTTGCTAAACATTTAAGAACTAAGGCATGTGGAAAAACCTGTAAATGTTCTTCAGACCTTAGTATTCACATCTAAACTCATCTGGATAAAAAGTACCTTATGAAAGTAAAGAATGTGTGAGAAAGCTTTACTCATTTTTCATCCTTACATGATAGGAACATCCTGGGGCAGAATTTGCATGCATATAAGGCATATGGGAGAGCAGTAATTGTTCATACTTTACAGAATGTAAAGTGTAAGAACTCACACTTGAGAGAACCTTCCAGTTATAAGGTATGTGGGAGAGCCTTTTTGTTGTTGCTCTGACATTAATTTTACATATCTAAAATCACTGTAAAAGTCGGGTGCCTGGCTGGCTCAGTTGGTAGAGCAGATGACTCTTGATCTCAGGGTTGTGAGTTTGAGCTCCCTGTTGTGCGTAGAGATTACTTATAAATAAATAAGAAATGACTGTAAAAGTGATGTAAAGGTAAGAATGAAGTATAGCCTTAAAATATGACAATTGGGGGCACCTGGGTGGCTCAGTGGGTAAAGCCTCTGCCTTCGGCTCGGGTCGTGATCTCAGGGTCCTGGGATTGAGCCCTGAGTCGGGCTCTCTTCTCAGCAGGGAGCCTGCTTCCCCCTCTCTCTCTGTCTCCCTCTCTGCTTACTTGTGATCTCTCTGTCAAATAAATAAATAAAATCTTAATGAAAAAAAAATGACAACGGGCTTTGAGAGCACATATAATTCATACTAGTAGGGATAAATCATCTGTAAGGAATGTGGTAAAACCTTAGTGTCAAGGCCTTAATAGCCACATGAGACTTCATACTGGTATAAAACCCTACCAATGTAAAGGACCCAGGAAGACCTACAGTTGTTTCTTGTATCTTAAAAAAACTCAAACTCAAAAAAAAAAAAAAAACCAAAAAACTCAACATTCAAAAACTGGAGAGATTTCTGTTCATGCAAGAAATATGGGAAAGCTTCGGGAAAGCTTTTAGAAATTCTAGATTGCTTCAGTGCAGGGAGACTCGTAAAGTCTCTTACTCGAAAGTAAGAAATGTTGAAGATTGTTCAGGTGTTAATGAGTAAGTCACAACACACAGTGAAGAGAAACCTTATGATGGTAAGATATGTGGGAAAACAGCCCCATATGTTGACATTCTTTGGTAATCTCACAGAGGCAGAAAATGTTATGACTCTTAGAAATAATGGGTACGCCTCTGTGTGTGTGTGTGTGTGTGTGTGTGTGTGTGTGTGTGTGTTTACTTTTTGGCTTTGACCTTCAGTAAAAATAATCCACACTGGAGAGAAATAGTGGTTGTAGGGTACATGGGAAATGGTGTATCCATCTTAAACATTTTACTCTACGTGTGAAAACCCACCCTGCAAAGAAGCTGAATGAGTGTAAAAATGTGGGAATGATTTTTGGTAAATACACATCCATTAAGAGACTCACAGAATGCTCACTGGAGGAATGACGTATGAATGAGAGGAATTTGGAGAAGCCTTCAGGTACTGCTCTTCCTTAGTGTACACAAGACGATTCTTCCTGGAGGTCAGATTGAAATAGACGACATAAATGCAGTCACCTTTCTGTGTGTCTCGTTCTCAAGGAAAGCAGCTGGCACCTTTATTTTTGTGGTGGTTTTGTATTACAAAGTTTTAGTTGCTTTTAAAGATACTCTTAAGTAATTTCTGCAATGGTATACTCATTTGATATAATGGTGTTTTCATTATGGTTCATATCTAAAGACTTTCTTGTATATATGTCTTCATTGAATTATATGAAATATTTGGAAATTTATTTGGCAATGGAAGAGCGTTTTTAAAAAAGATTTTATTTATTTGACAGAGGGAGAGCATAGGCAGGGGACGCAGCAGGGAGAGGGAGAAGCAGGGTCCCCACCCGATGCAGGGCTCAATCCCATGACATGACCTGAGCCGAAGGCAGACACTTAACCGACTGAGCCACCCACGCGCCCCTGTAAGAGCATTTTTAAAAATACATATTTTTCTGAGAGAGAGTGTGCACATCAGCTGGGGCAGGGACAGAGGGAGAGAATCTTTGAAGCAGACTCCCTGCTGAGTACAGAGTCCCATGCAGAGCTGAATCTCATGACCCATGAGATCTTGACCTGAGCTGAAAACAAGAGTTGGACACTCAACTGACTGAGCCACCCAGGTGCCCTCGCAATGTAAGAGCATTTTATAATGTTTTTAGATACTGCTTTCTAGTGTATTTGCAAGTGAGTCATAAAATGAAGCTCTTTGTGGTATTTGATTATAGGAAAATTCTGGCTTTGTATGGCAAGTAGTATGTAGTCATCTAAATATTCCTGTCCCTTATAAATAGAATCCAGGTTATCTCCAGGCACATAATTAAAAAAAAAAAATCATTCCTACTTCTCAGATTTCCTTGGATTTATGAGAAGACTATAATTCATAGTCCTGGCTAATAAGAAGTAGGCAGAAGTCATCAGTGTGGATTCTGGGAAAACTGTTAAAAAGGGGACAGTCTCCAATGGCTTTTTCTCTTCAAGGATTGCTCTTCTACATTGTGTACTATGAGGATAAAAACTACAGACCACTTGGGTATGGCTGAGAAACAGAGAGATGCTTCTGTTTGTAGTATTGTACCAGTCACTGGACTGCTTATATACAGACTTCTTGGTACATAAAAAAAGCTTACCAGGCTGAGCACTTGTATTTCAGAATCATCAATGTATAGATGGCACGTAAAACCATTCAGTTAGATAATTTCATCTGAGGATTGGCAACCTCTGGGACTGTGGCAGTTGGAGTCATATAGGAGGTAACGAATGAATTGAAAAGTAGTGGCCCATGAAATAGGAATAGAATTAAGACTGATGTCCATGAATCCAAGGCAAGGAGCAGTGACTGATCGGCTCTACCAAATGCTGATTTGGGTGAGTTGAATGAGGTTGGGATTTAATCATAAAAGTTCCTGGGGACCTTTTTCAAAAGCTGGCTTTATAGAACAGGGTGTGCCAAGGTCGTCTTGGTATAGATTTCTGAGAAATTAGTATATACTTTGTCCATCCTATTCTACCCTACCCATTCTATCCTAAATATAGATACTTCTCTTATACCCTCAAAATCTATACCTTAATATTCTAGCTTTACATTGTGTTATTAGTTTACTACTGCTGCTCTAACAAACTACCAAACAATGTCAGAAGACAACTAAAATTTTACTACCTTAACAGTTTTGGATTTCAGAACTCTGAAATGGGTTTCAGGGAACTAAAATCAAGATGTTAATAGGACTGTATTCCTCCCCGGAGGCTCTAGGGGTGAATCTGTTCCTTTTTCCAGTTTCTAGATGCCCTTCTGCTTTCCTTTTTTCCTTCCTAAAGGCCAGCAATGTCAGTCCTCATACTACCATCTCTTTGGCTCTTCTGCTTTATCTCCTCCTATTACTTTTTTTTTTTTTTTAAAGATTTTATATATTTATTTGAGAGAGAGCACAGAGGGAGAATGAGAGGGAGAAGCAGACTCCCTGCTGAGCAGAGAGCCCAATGCGGGGCTCCATCCCAAGACCCTGAGGTCATGAGCTGAAGGCAGATGCTTAACTGACAGAGCCACCAAGACCCCCACCTCCTTTTTAAAAAAAAAAGTGAACTGAAAAGAAATTTTAAAAATAAATAAAATTCTTTTTAAAAAGTGAACTCTACTCCCCAATGTGGGGCTTGAACTCAGGACCCTAAGATCAAGAATTGTATGCTGTCCTGACTGAGCTAGCCAAGTACCCCACCTCTATTACATTATTTTAATGCTGTTCTGTGATTTTTTTTTTCCCATTCTGCTAAAAGAAATATTTGAGAGAGAGCATGAATGGAGGAGAGGCAGAAGGAGAGGAAGAGCGACAAGTAGACTTTCTGAGTGCAGAGCCCGACATGGAGCTTGGTCCCAGGACCTGAGATCATGATCTGAGGCGAAGTCAGATGCTTAACTGACTGAGCCACCCAGTCGTCCCTTTTTTCCCACCCTTAGATTTTATAATTCTAGCATACATACAGAAAATAGTGTGAAAGTGCCTACGTGTTGCTAATAAACTACAAACTAGTGTGTCCACAGCTATCCACCCTCCAGATAAAGACATGGAAGTAGAAATTACTACCCATGAGAATCTCTTCCACCTTGCATCATCACCCTCCATCAAAGAGGAAAAACCATCGTGTTTGGACATTAGCTTAAACACTGTACTAATCATGCTTTTAATTTTTTGTGTATTATATTGCTTTAACATCTTTGGGTTCTTGCTGCCTGGAGAGACTGCCCCTCCCAGCACTAGGTTGTTGTTACTGTTTTTGACCTAAATTATTTAATAGGTAAGAATTTTACAAACATTACTATATTAGCAGTAACAGTGGGGCTGGATAATGTGTCCTCTCTGTGCTGCCTGGTGAGAACCACTAATAATGTGGTCGAACTTGTGACCCTTTCCAAAGGCCACAGTTCTTGGTAGCCTGCAGAAGTCAGCCTTCCCATTTCCCTGTGCTTGTGGACTGGTTTAGTGATCCACTAGGTCTCAGGATTTCTTCTGATAGCTTTATGGAATGGATCAATGAGGATAACCTCAAAGAATTTCCATGTGCAATCTTCACGAACCCAATAAGAATTCAAGACTCTCAGAGCCCCAGTGGCATCCAGCTTGTTCCTCTACAACAGACTGAAGATGTTGGGTAAACTTTAGCTGGTTAACGCCATGATGGACAGGCTTGCCATAGGCTGCTCCTTTGGTACCTGGGTATCTGCAGCCACTACACCACATACACGAAGCCAATATATGACATAAACTTGCTTGGCCTTGTACCCCAGTCTGCATGCTTTATGGGGCTGGGTTGGGTGGAGGGCCCTGTGAAGTGCACAGAGCTGGGGGTACTGCCAGCAGCTCACCGTGAGAAGAAGGAGCATTATTACATTGGACTGCTTCCTCCTCCATAGCTCCTGGATGTACTGGTAAGTGCCCCTCTTGGCTTGCCTTTCAGGGGATGGCTGCCTCCAGACAAAGGCAGGACTAGCTAACTTTTAAAGACAGTAAATAACTTCTTTGGAAGCTTACATATGATTCATATGCAAACCAATCACTGCAGAGCCCATAGTCCAACCACCTCCTTTATCTTAACTCTCACACAATCCAGTATTTCTCCTGCCCTAAATCAACCTAGAGCTAGGTAGCAGACAACTGTGATCCTGAGCCCACTGGAATTATTTAAACTACACAATATTTAGCTTTACCTTGCTCTGCCTTGCCTTTCCTGAAGAAACCCCAACACAGCTCT